TAATCTATCTAAAATAAATATGTTCAACCACCTAATTAATCAAGACCTCAATAGGTGCCTTAATAAAGACTTGCTGAATATATATAACCATAATAATTCAGACCATAATAGAATGAATAGAAAGATTAAGATCTAGAAAAGAAATTTAAAGATGCAATAGATAAAACAAAAGATTTAGTGTAGAGATACTAAAATCCATAATAACCACAAAAGTAGCCATCTGATAATAATCATTAAGAATAATAATTATAAGAACTTGCACTTTAATATGAAGATGGATATATATATAGAGGTGAAGGATATGAACCAGCTACAAGAGAAGGATTTGGAATATTGACAGATTAAAATGATAATGAAGTATACAATGGTTATTGGCATGATAATTAATATCATGGATAAGGCAAATTAATAAATTTCTAAGCAGAATAAATTGATGGACCATTTGATTATTAGGATTTGAGTGGAATTGAAAATGGTTGGTTAGGATATGAAGGTAATTAATGATAATATTTCAAAGGTGAATTTTAGGAAGGAAAGATGCATGGATCTGGTATACTTTAATTAACAAATGGTGAAAAATTTGAAGGTACATTTAATGATGGTATGATTGATGGAGAAGGAGTATATTTTACAATTAATGGATAAATTATTAAAGGAATATGGAAAGAAGGCATATTAACAAATTATAATTGATTTGTATTATCAATATCATATCAAAATATGTTTAATTAAATTTATTTATTTAAGTTTATCCTATATATATGTTTTGATTATAAATTACTTAATTTACCGATTTTTATAAAATTTATTGTAAATTAAATAAAAATAACTATTTCCCTTATTATTATTGATAACAATGATATTGAAATTATAACTCATCTTAGAAATTGAAATAATTTTAAATAAAGGTATGGCAATATTACCATTTTCTAACACAAATTATATATCAATTATCAATTCTTTTTTTTATTAAAACATAGAAATTTAATGTTTTGAATGCTGATAGTTTCATTCTCTACTTCAAATTCGTCAATTTTTTGAGAAGAATTATCTTGAAGAAACGATAAGAATGAATTTTTGGAAATTTTCGATCTATATTAAGGTTTAAAAATCTTTGAACACAAATACTCCTTAGGGGTTTTTCTCTTCTGGGGATTTGTTTGCATCATCGATTTAAGCAATTCAATGATATCTTTATCAATATTAAGATTTGGGATATGATATTTTCCCATTATATTATTTTGAAGTTTAGTTTATGAGTCATTTCCGAAGGGATTTTAGTTAAATAACCTTTAGAAATTAACATATAGAAATACAAATGATACAAGAGTGTACCTAATTAGAATATATTGGCAAAGGGTGAGATCAGGTATTTATTTTATAAATACTCAGGAGGTATAAAACCTATAGAATTACCCTTTCTAAACTTATGATATTATTTACATAGGTATTTATCTATTACATTCAAAGGTTGATGATGTGAAATCACTAACTACAATCGAGTTAGAATCCCGAGAATAATTAATCATATCCAAATTAATACCATTATGTATAATTTGAAGCTCTTAGAAAATGTTTAACACTAACAATAAATTTTTATGATACCAGTTAACAATTATTCTAAAATCTCAATTACAAAAGAAAGAGGCAAACCCATTTTTTACATTTTTAAAATCTACTTTAAAGATATTAAATTTTGGTTTGCGTAGATTATAGAATAGTTGTCACCATCATAAGATATCTATACAATTTTTATAATGTAAGGACATTTCTAAGCATTCAATAGTTAAATTATACGGACTTCTTCAGGTACTTTGTCTTACCATAATTAAGTATCGAATGAATTCGACATCTCTATATCTTGAGAAATAAAATTAGAAAAAATTCTTTTCTCAATGTACTGTTTACTATTTCTTTGATTTGTTACTACAGACATCTTAACTTAATATTATATATACTTCATATTATGAATTGGCCTACATGACAGAATTTAATTTAAAGATATTACTTTTCTTAAAAATGAATTTACCAGAACAAAAGTCATACAACAAATCTAATTACTCCCTAGACCCTTCTATATGGTATTCTTAACCCTAGTAAAAGAGTCTAAAGTAAAATTCATTTGAACAAGTTCCTTCTAAATAATCATTCCAATCCATAATTGCACTCTCATCGCTCCATTATACCAATAATTTGAAAGCTAAATTTAATGAGTCCTAAATATTTAAGTAAGTAATACTAATAGCTTCAATCCCCAAGACTCTGAAATAATATAAATTTATGACTTCCTGTCTTTAGGAAAGTTTAACCCTTTAATTAGATATAGGTCTTTTTGATTCATTATAATAGTTAATCAAGATTTAGTGTTTTATTTTATAAATTAATTTCTCGTTATTTTGAATGTTTTCAATTTATATATTACTTGAAATATAAGTTGTTAGGTAAACATTGATGACGGAGTAATAATTATAAATATAAAATAACAAAAAATACGAAATGAAATATTAATTTAAATATTCTTTTTAAGTTGACTTCAACTTTAATAAGTTTCTGTTAAGAATTATAGCCTATTTAAACTTGATATTTAAAATAATAAAGTATTTAGCCATTTATAATTCTTACAACATTTATTCTAAAATGATAACTATTTTTGATTTAAACAGGAAACAAAAACAATCAATCTCTAATATTTAAATAATGTTTATCAATTACTATTTATTTACAAAGGTATATATTTTTATATTACTAATAAATGATTATTGTAAATTCTTATGAGTAAATAAATATTATGAATTATATTATTGAATATGTATATAATTATAGATTTTTTAATTAATTCGTTTTTAATATTAATCGTTTTTTAATATTAAGTTTATCAGAAATGAAATACATAATAGTTGTATTGTTTGCCTTAGCAGCTACAAGCTATGCTTCAAAAACTTAAGATCAAATCTTAGCACTTTTATAAGTATGTTGAAATCATTTATTCAAATAGACTGGAACAAAAGCAAGTGATGCTATTGATACAGTGTTTGGATTGTTAAATGATTTGAAATAATCAAATATTGATGCTTAATTTGCTGCAGATTAAAAGAATGAAACAGATGAATGGATTGGTGCTTAGTATATATAATTAATTAAATATTAGAACTATTGAATAATTCACCAAAATCAAAACCTTGAATTAAAAATTATTCTAACAAGCCGTTGAAAATAGAGCTGAATATGAATAAGTCTTATAATAAACCAAAAATTATTTGGCTTGGAATGAAGCTAGAAGAGATTCTATTGCAGCTAAAATTGAAACATTACAAGATAATTAATGTTTCAGCAATCAATTATTTGTGAAATCAATTAAACACAATTAAGAAGCTCTTGAAGTTATCAAACTTCTTAAATAAGATGTTGCTGGTTATATTATAAATGGAGATTCATTTGAATTTACATAAGTTAAAGCTTAATCAGTTGCTGAAAAATTAAAATAATATAGCAATTTGTTTTAAGAACATCAAATCAAATCATTCTTAGCTTTAGCTTAAGAATAATAAGTAAATTATTAAAATATTGAAGGAATAATCATCTGGAAATGGATCAACATTGGCTGAAAAAGTTTTGGCTGTTCTTGAAGGATTATAAAGTGAATTAGAAGCATCATTGGAGAATTTGAAATAAAATGAAATTAATGCATCTTGGGAATTAGCTGGATGGGTTTCATTATCTGAAGCTGAAATCACAAGTTTGGAAGTAGAATATGAAAGAAAATAAGTATTTGCTGATAGAACTGCTACTGTATAGATTATTAATTAAATTAGTAAATCCAAGCTGCTTTGGCCTAATAAGCTAAATCAAAGATTATATTATAAGAATCATAAGATGCCTTAGATTAAGCATAAGCTGATTTAGAAGCAAAGAGAGCTGATTATGAAGAAGCAAAGGCAAAGAGAAATGAAGAGAATGCTATTTTGGATGAAGTTATCATCATGTTCAAGAAATAAGTTGCTTCATGGTCAGGAAGATGATATTATTGATAGATATTAAAGAATATATCATTTATTCAATGAATAAATTTCACATATTCATTTCTAACATTTCAATTTTAATTTTTTCAATAACAGTCTCAACTAAAGATACCATTTCTTATTCAGTAGTTTCTCTATCTTTTCTATTTCTTTTCAATAATTCTGTAATTCTAAATTAAACTTCTCTTAAACTTTCAACTATGTCTTCTTCTTTTGCTTCTCTTTCTTTTCTTTCTCTATAATAAATTATAATTTAATTAATACCTATCAAATAATTCTCTTAGATCTGAGATTTATTCCATAAATTGATGGTATATCCTTTCTTCAACTTCTCTTCTTTCATCAATTTCATTTTAAAGATCATCAGCAATTTTAGGTAAATCCTCATTTAAATAAATATCCACATATTTATGTGATTCTTATAGTTCAACACCTTATCTATTAACATCTTAAGTAATGAAATCTATTTATTAACTAATTGCATAAGTTAATTTCTTTTCTTAATCTACTCTTTCTTTTTAACTAGTTTCTAATAATCTTTTTGCATGTCTTTCTAAATCAATAATCATTTTTTATGTTTCTTATTCTTATCTCACTCGACTAATTTTCAAATTATTAATACTTATCATTTTCAATTTCCAAGAATCCTTGTAATTCTTTAAATTTATTTGCCAATTAACTAAATATTGCTTCTTTTTATTAAGATGCATTTCTTAAATTAGATTCAAATTGGGCTATCAACTAAGCAATAATTGAAAATCTGTTATTTTTTCTATAATTTATTAATGAGAATTAATTCATACTCATCTTATACTTGATTCTAAATATTGTTTAATTTCTCAAAAATCCCTGTTACTCTATTTTATACATTGTCATTCATTTCTTTGAATTATAATATTTATTAACTATTTAACAGAATTTTTTATTAATTTAAATTTTAATTCAGACATTAATTAAATAATAAAAATAGTTATTAAATAAATGAACTCAAAAAAGGAATACTTAAAAAATGTGTTTGATTAGCATATTCTCAAAGAATAAAGAAACAATAAATATGAACCTAGTAGTAGCTTATTGTAACCTACATTTTAAAATCTAATGCATTCTCTACCATCTAATATTTAACTCTCTTAAATGAAATATCAAAAGTATAGATCAGCATCCACCAGTTTAGAACAATCTAAACCATTACCAAGTCCTAGTTTTGGAGGTTAAATGACAAGATCTCAATAATTTAGAACAAATAATATTCTAGGAGATATAAAAAATAGAAAATATTGAAAATATTAAATATTCATTATTTAATACTAAACAAATAGAATTAATAAATAATCATTATTCTTTATTACCAAGAACAGGAATAGATGTTGTGATTTCCTCTGATTCATTTACATGTAGCATACTCTTTTTAATTCTTTTCTCATCCTCTTCTATCTTTTCCAATAAAGGTTGATGTAAAGTCTCTCGAAGTGGAAAGAGAAGCAAAGAACACAAAAATCCAATTAATCCAAATGCAACCATAGGATGAATATTTATAGAAGCACAAACATTTATTAAAAATGCTTGAGCTATGCTACCAATTGAACCACCAGCTGATATCAAACATAAAGCTAAAGATCTAACTACAGAGGGAAACAATTCAGAAACATAAACATATGCCAATGCCCAAACAACACAGATTAGAAATCTCATTAACTAAGTTTTTGATATTAAAATTGTACTCCTGCCAATACTCCTTAAAATATTCTAAATACAATATGATCACTTTTGAAAATGAAATAGAGACTCATAATTCCTACAATAAAAAAACCACCTATAATATTCTTCTTTCTATTTAATTTTGTAATAAAAAAATCTGAATATAAGAACATATGATACCTGTTGTAGCATAAGCTAATAGTTCAAAGAAAGCAATAATGAAATTGCTTAGAAAGAAATCTAGGCCTAATTGATCACTAACAAAACTAATTCCATAATATGTAACTTAAATAGCAAAAAACATCATCACTCCAGCAATAAATACATATCTCAGAGATTTATATTTTAATAAATCCCAGATTGTATAAACTCTAGAGTTATTCTCTTTACTTTATGGATTAGAAGCTAACTCATTTATTCTTAGAGGTTGTGTACCATTTATTTTGGCTATCTAATTAAGAACTTTGACACATTTCTTCTTATTTTTTGAGTATAAAAATTGAGGAGATTCAAAAATCAAAAAATTACAAAAATTTAATAGAATAGTAGGCAATGCAACTGAAATTGCTAACCATCTCCACTTAGTGATAAAATATGCTAAAGTTATTATTGTGAATTCACCAAGGGCAAAAAATACTTAGACTCCAACATTCTAAATCTCTCTAAAATGACCCTCTATATATTATATATTTTATAATTTACATGAATGTTCATTAATAAATGAATAATGTACTGTAATTGCTGGGTTACCTCCAAAACCTAAAAAAAATATTCCTATAGCTATCATTGAATAATTCATGGCAAACTTATATAAAAAATAATAATATACTGCAAGTAAGAGTGATCCAATTGTAGTCATGCCCCAAGAAATAGATAAAGCTAATTTACGACCATAATTATCAGCAATAAATGAAAATACAAAAAATCCAGACAAAGATCCAATATAAACAATAGATTTAATTATAGATTGCAAAGATTTATTACAAGGTAACAAAGCGTTAAAAGCTGTATTTAATGATTCTCCAACCACAAATTCTCTACGTTATGAATCATCCTACATTCATCAAAATAATATACACAAACATAGGTTAGACACTTTTCATCTAAAGATTCAGATGTACATTAACTTAAACATTCTACATTATTTTTACAATCAACGGTAGGTACTATAAAAAAGAAAACTGGTGAAAAAAGTATCCAACTAAAATATGGAATTCTGTAAAATACTTAGTAATCATCCACTATAAGCCAAATATTAAAAATGCTCTTTTTTAATATAAACCAGCACCTCCAACTTGAGTTAGTGCTTCGTCATATGTCAACTATTTCAACTCAGCAGATTCATTTTATACAATTTCTTCATGCACAAGCATCAAATATTTAATAAATTATTAAAAAAAATATATTTTTCTTAAAATAATTAATACAAAATTCATAATTACGTAATAAAATCTGTAATAACAAATTCTAGTATTTAATTATTCAAGAAAATTAATCAAAGTCTTTAAGAAATAATAATCATCATTTTTATTTACTTTAATTTAATTATTTCTAATTTTGTTAAAAAATGTTCATTATCATTTTCAATTATCTTAAACTTCAGTTAGCATCCTATTTTAATATACTTATAATATAATTATTTCATAATTTAATTTTTAACAATTATTTTTCAAAATTAAAATTAATTATTTACCTGAATGTATTAACCAAGAAGGTTATCTCCTGCATCATCTAGTCCACTTTATAGAAATGTTAATGTGTAATGTAATAATTCATTATTCAATTTAGAATAAAATTAAATTAAATTATAACTAAAATAAATCACTCCCACTAATAACATACCACCTTATGTTTAGATCATATCATAAAATCATCATAAATAAAATACTTATAGCTCATATGAAAATAATTCCAGATAAATATCCAAAGAAAGAGAAAGTAGTTAATCCAATCAATCCAAAGATTAAATATTCAATCAATACTAAAATGAATCATTATTTTAACATCATACCTAATCTTTAATCTAGAAAAGTGAAATTAATTAAGTCTACTCATATATTGATAACATATATAAGACCTAAAAGTCAGAAATATTCAAAGTATTAGATCATTAAAATAAATAAATAGAATTTTTGTAATAAATTATTTTAAACTAAACCTAATAACAATAAAATACAGCATCCTAATTTTTATAATTGCAAACTTAATTAGAAGAAAAACTGTCTAATTTTATTAATAAATAAATTAAAGATCTCTCCAATAGATTATAAAATACATATAAAACTGAATTAGAATAGACTAATAAACATATAGAAAAGCTTCGAGCTTAAATATTTTAAATAAATATCACTAATAGTAAACTTATTACTGAAAAACTTTAAACTTCAAGTTTCAATGGTACTGAAAATTTAATTATTAATCATTCCTAAAGCCATAAACCATTACTATCTGATAATCAAACTAACAATTTAGATCAAAATATTAAAATAATTAAAAATAATTACCTAATTGATAAGGATTATTAAACTTAATCACATTACCCTTTAAATGATATAACAAATATTTAAATGAAATATATTAAGAGCTTGTAATCAAGTTTATAAAATTCAAAACTATCGAAATGTTCTTCTTCAAATAATAATAAAAACCAACAAGAAGGATCTCCCATTGAATTATTTAATGAACAAAATGTTTTAGATAGTCTTGATAATATTAAAGTTTTTGATCCTTAACTCTAATAATAATCTGATATTCCATCTGATACTACTAACAACTAATTATCGATGGATTTATCCTAGGCAAGAATGTCAACAATATAAGAAAACGAAAATGAAGAAGATGAATGTATTTATTAAATTGTTGAAAATAATTAAAATTAGACTAAATTCAGAAATCTTAAGAAATCAAAGGATTAAATTAAAACTAAATAATCTAAAAGCAAAACATTATATTATTGAAATAAAATTAAATATATTAACTTCAAAAATATCATATTATTTGATTCTTATTCCAATAAAATTAATCAAGAGTTATTATTAAAAATAATCTTTGTTTCTAATGTTGTAATCATATAAGATATAGATATAATGTTTATTGATCAAATAAATTATTTAATAATTTTGTATTTATATTAGAAGAGTTGTAAAAGATGGTAAATAATAATGAAACAGAATAATTTTTTATAATTTTATAATTATTTTTAAATAGGCTAAAAAAAAAAAAATTCTTAAATTTGGAATTTTTTAAATTTTCCACAAGAAAATTAATCAAGATAAAATCCAAAAAGTTAAAGAAATGAACTGATTTCACAAAATTTATGCTTAATTACTTGGAAATAATCGATTTTTTAGAAATAATTAAATCGATTATTACATTGAGAGATAAGTAAGAGAAGAATATTAAATTGTAATTTAAATTGAAAATAAAAGTAAAATTTATGTTTATTTGAATTGACATGAATGAAAGTTAAAATTTTTTTGTAAAATCTTCAAATTATTATGTGTAATGTTTGATTGATAGAGTGGGGAATAATAAATTAAATGTAAAATTGTTAAAAAAATTAAAACTGTTCAGAGCTTAAAATTCAATTTAAATAATTATAATTTAAATATTAAAATAGTAAGATATGTTGAAAATAAGAAAATATTTGAAAATTTTAAAGGTGTTTTAAATGAATTTATTTTAATGACTAAGTGATTTAAAAATAATTAATAATTTAGTTCGATATACATTGGTTTTTAATTATATTTTAGATATAATTATATACTAAGCTTTATGGATATTTAGAATAAACAAATTTGAAATTATAAGAAAAAGTTTTATATTTAAATAATATAGTTTTATAATATCGAGATATCTAATAATTTTGGTAACTTAAAAAAATAATTTAATTTATTTAGATAGGTTAGATTTTTCGAAAGTTGAATTTGGAATAAACAGTCCAATTAAATTAAGGATAGAACAAGCAGTCTATAAATTTAAATTTAGATTCATACCTTTTCACTTATTAATTAAAGTTTGTGAAAATATTTCTTATCTATAAAATCCTTTTTCTCCAATCATTTTAACTTTAACCTTATTTTAAAACATGATTAATAATTTGGGTACTTGATGAATTATTTTATAATTGCTAAAATATCTTTCTTTTTTTCACATTTTCTGTAAATTGTTAAAGAATTAAAAAATATTTTAGTATATTTAATGTTATTAGAATGAAAAACTATATCTTATCATCTAACAAATAAAAAGAAGGGAGTTTTTAAATAAAAGCTGATTGCCATGTGCTAATCAACTTAATTGAAAGAAAGTAATTTAAAAGAATGGTTAAATTTCCTTTTTTAAGATGAAAAAATAATGCTTCATCAACAGAATTTAAACAATAATTCAAATGATTTAGCAATTAAAATGCTTTGGAATAAAAAGAATTTCATTTTCAAATTAATTTAATAAATCAACATCTTAATAGAGTCAAATATTTTATCCAGTAATAAAGAAAAGAATGGTTGAAAAAAAATGAATTAATATTGAATAGAAGATCATCCTGAGGAATGAAAAGTTCAATATATAAGTTAGTTTAAGCCTAAAATAATTTATTTTTCATTTAAATTAGAAATGAAATCAGCTTCATTTAATAACAAACAATCAATTTTTAGAAAATCCAAGACTTTTTAATTTCAAAATAATTATGATTAAGCTAAATTAAAAAATTGTAAAAAAATTAGACTTTTATGGAATGAGCAATCTTCAACAAAAAATACTTTAAAATGAAAAATTCAAATAAATTAAATAAATATATATGCAAAATAAAAATTATTTAAGTGAGTTAAATACAAATAAGGAGATCGTAATTTAAGCAAAATAGATATATTACAATTGTTAATAAGTGATGTCATACAAAAAGACAACAATAAATCTTAAATTATCCGATTAAGGTGAAGTATTACATTTAAAAGATGGGGAAATTCTAAAAAGGTTAATATTAATTAATAAAAATAGAGAAGTAATATCAAATTAAAATGAAATGGAGACGATTCTTAACTTAGAATAATTGAAGCATTTAAGATGGGAAGGATAATATGGAAAACAAAATTAAAAAATTGGTAAATGGACTCCAGTGTGGAATGAAAATGTATTAGAAGCAGGAGGCAATTATAATGATTTTGGATAAAAGGAAGGAATATGGGTTGATTTGCATGAAAACTACTGGGAGTATTTGATAGTTATATTATTATTATTTTAGGGGATAATAAATTACATATAGAGGTGAATATCAGATTGGAAAAAAAGTAGGAAATTGGAAAATTGAAATAAAATCGATGATGTCAGACCCTAAAATTATGTATAGATCTTATTTAATTTTAATTAATAGCGGTGGAGGTCAATACAAAGAGAATACAGGGGAAAAAATAGGAATGTGGAAAGAATTGAATGAAGATTTTGATTAGTAAAAAGCTTTGTATATTTTTTACATCTAGATGCTCATAAATTGTTTAAGCTGGAGAATATAGAAATGGAAAAAAAATTGGGTAATGGACAATCATGAATTTGGATAATGATAAGACTATGTAAAATCTAAATTTATATTAGTGGGGGAGGTAATTATGATGAAGAAAATGGTTTCAAAATCGGAAATTGGATAGAACCACATAATAAATTTAATGAGGAAAGCTTTTGTGAAATCAAATTTGTTGGTTAATACAATAATGGAAAAAAAATTGGTATATGGGAGATTTAGGTTGAATCAGCAGGTAGAAAGAACTTAAAGATTATGTATATAAATATTTAGATCTTAAAGTGCGTTAAATAATTATGATTAAGAAAGTGGTTAAGAGATTGGAAAGTAAACTGAATTATTTGAAAATTTCAGCAAGTAATATAGAATATTATTTTAATAAAGCTCATGTTAAATTATATATCATGGAGAATATAAGAATGGAAAAAAAACTGGATATTGGTAGACGTTATCAATTGATTCTAATACAGAAATGTAAATTAAAAATTTTTAAATTAGTGGAGGTGGTAAATACGATGAAGAAACTGGGTTAAAAAATGGATAATGGATTGAGATACATGAAAACTTTGATAGGTATTAAATTAACTTATTGCTTTAACTTTTTTAATTTAAATAGACATCTCCCAATTGGTTATTATGGATCATATAAGAATGGTATGAAAATTGGAAAATGGGTAACTAAATACTTTGAATTAAATACAGTGATGCAATCTGATCAGGATATAATGTAAATCATTAAATTTAATTCATTAGTGGAAGTGGTAATTATGATGAAGAAAATGGATTAAAAAATGGAGATTGGTTGGAACTTGATGAAAACTTTTGGAGGTAAATAATTATAGTAATGTCTTTTTAGGGGATGTTAAGTTAAGTATGTTGGAAAATACAAAAATGGGAAAAAATACGGATCTTGGGACACTTTACATTAAAGATAAAAAGATGAAGTCAAGATGTAATAAACAAAATTATCTAATATTTAGTGGAGGAGGAAGTTATGATGAGGCAACAGGATTAAAAACTGGCGTATGGGTTGAACTATATGAGCATTTTTACAGGTTAAATTTTTTTTTATTTCAAAAAGAAATATTCCGATTGTGTTTAGAGGAGAGTATAAAAATGGTGTGAAATAGGAACCTTTTAATTAGGAGGATTTGAATTTCATATGAGTTTATAAGATAACATAAACTTATAATGTTAATAAAATTAGGTATCGAATTATCCACCTATTGAAATATCACAATTTCAATCTAAGTGGAATTTTTAATCTAATTATACTCAATAGATTTTAAAGATGAATCTATTTATTCTAATATCTAGTTTTTTGTTGGTTGATTCCTTTAAATGAGTATTTGCTAAAAAAATAACGAAAACTATTTATGTTTTTAATTAAACAGCTAGTAATCTTTGATGAAAAACTATAAAAATAGAATTCTAATAATTTCAAAAAGTTTTTAATCCTTAATAAATTGTTTGTAGATTTTGAACAATAAATCCTACTTTATAAACATTTTATAAATTCAATATTTTTAATAGACTCTACCATATATTAGGGAAATAAATACCATTTTCATACACAAATATAAATATCTTATAATAATCTAAGAAATATGTTTATTAACTACTTTAATACTATATTTAATTATTGTAAATATCTCTTAAATAACTATTTTCGATTATATTTATTAATCCTTTACTTAAATTATACAAATTATAAAAAATTAATGTTAAATATATAAAAAAATGATTTTTATCTTATAAGGTAATCAATTAATTTTGAATATTGATATCGAAAAATATTGTCATTATTATAATTCAATTTATAAATATTATTTTTTTTAAGATCATAATATTAGAAATGAATGTATTAAGAGAATAGCAAATAAATAGATATAAGTGTATGAGAATGGTTAATTTAATTAAATAAACTAAATGCAAAAATGTACAATAATTATTAAATAAAGAGTTGAAATTTTTAAATTACTATTATCACAATCAAAATCAAATATAAAGAACTATAGAATTATTACTTATAAATAAACTTGTTTTTAATTATCTTTGAACAATAAAATTTAAAAAATAAGTTAATATAGATTGTAAATTAGGATTTGATTTTTTTAAGTTATTAATATAAACGAAATTAGGAATTATGCAAACAACTACTAAATTTATAAATATCAATTATTTATATTCTTCTTAGTACAAAATTATAATAGACATTAATTATGATGGGTTATTTCTGATTAGTAAAAATTAAGATTAAATAAAGTTTGATAAATTTTTATTGAAAAATTTTATTGGGTTAATATTGCTTGAAAAAAATAAAAGAAAAATTAAATTAACTTTTATTTTTCTCCAGGGGTTGGAAAAGAAACGATTCAATAGGGTAATCCCTGGTTAAGCAACATCTTCCTCCTTAAGTGAGCTGACCTTAGAGATGAGGGCAGCCTTATATCTATTTGAATAGTCTCACTAGGGTTTGGGTTTGGGTTTGGGTTTNTAATAATTTCAAAAAGTTTTTAATCCTTAATAAATTGTTTGTAGATTTTGAACAATAAATCCTACTTTATAAACATTTTATAAATTCAATATTTTTAATAGACTCTACCATATATTAGGGAAATAAATACCATTTTCATACACAAATATAAATATCTTATAATAATCTAAGAAATATGTTTATTAACTACTTTAATACTATATTTAATTATTGTAAATATCTCTTAAATAACTATTTTCGATTATATTTATTAATCCTTTACTTAAATTATACAAATTATAAAAAATTAATGTTAAATATATAAAAAAATGATTTTTATCTTATAAGGTAATCAATTAATTTTGAATATTGATATCGAAAAATATTGTCATTATTATAATTCAATTTATAAATATTATTTTTTTTAAGATCATAATATTAGAAATGAATGTATTAAGAGAATAGCAAATAAATAGATATAAGTGTATGAGAATGGTTAATTTAATTAAATAAACTAAATGCAAAAATGTACAATAATTATTAAATAAAGAGTTGAAATTTTTAAATTACTATTATCACAATCAAAATCAAATATAAAGAACTATAGAATTATTACTTATAAATAAACTTGTTTTTAATTATCTTTGAACAATAAAATTTAAAAAATAAGTTAATATAGATTGTAAATTAGGATTTGATTTTTTTAAGTTATTAATATAAACGAAATTAGGAATTATGCAAACAACTACTAAATTTATAAATATCAATTATTTATATAATGTAAATAATCAATTCTATAAATTGAAATACCAATTTTGATATATATTTATTATAAATAATGAAAAATAATAAATTGGCATCTTCCATAATAATATGTTTAAAACTATTGTTAATTATTTATTAAATACTAGAGATTAAGTTTATTTTATGAAATATATTAATTTATCTATTTTTATTTTAAATTATTTATAGAATTATATATAGAGATATTAATTCATAAATAAAACTTAAGTAATTATTATAATTCTATCATTTTTAATATATATTTATACATATAATTTTGATTAATTATTATTATAAATAATAGAAATGGAAACTAAAAATCCAGATGAGATTTCCAAGAGATTTTGTTAAATGCATGATAATTATGAGATTATTGCTGTTGATTTAAATATCTCTTGTAATAAAAAATTCCTATGTGCAAAATGTCTTCTTGATATGATTGGAACAAAAAGCATTGTTCTTTATGATAAGGCTATATAAATGATTAAGGACATGAAGAATAAATCAGATGAACAAAAATCAGAATTGAATAAAATTAAACTTTAGAATTTGAAATAACTCTAAAATTCAACTGCATAATTTGAGGGACTTATCAAGAATACATTAAGTAAATTATCGGATAGTATTGAACATTAAATAATTGAAAATTAAAATGAATTAGATACATCAGATTCATAATTATAAACTGTAGATTTAGAAGAAGATATTCAAATTCTATCAACAAATTATAAAGAAAATGAAGAGTTCAATATGCCTGTTTAAAATATAGATAAGAGTAAATTATCTTAGTTTTTTGATTCAATAAAGGAATCATTAATATAATTATAAAGTTCTTAACATTTTAATTAAATCAATTAATTAATTGAAAATATTGAAAAATAATTATCAATTAATTAAGATACAAAAAATAAATAAATTGAAGAATATGTAAATTAATATTATTATTTAGAAAACACCATCTTTAAATTAATTATGTTCTAAACATAACTATTAAATTATATCTGTTAATTTAAATTAAATATAAAATAATGAAAATTTGAATAGATTGGCTTGTATTTAATGTATTTAGGAGGTTCCTATTTAATATGTTACATTAAATGAAACAAGTAAGAGATGGAATCAATTTGTAGAATAACAAGATGAAATGAAATCAAAATATTAAAGATAAAGAGAATTTAAAATAAAAACAGCTATTAAATTTATTTAATAATTAAAATAATAATATTAATAGATACTAACTGATATTATATAATCTTTAAATGATTAACTTAATTAAGTTATTGAAGATTCATAATAAATTAAATAAATGGACATAAGTGTCTTTTTATAATTAGATGAAAAATCAATCTAATAAATTGTTAATATTCTAAGTTTGAAGGATTAGCATCATTCTCTTAAAACTATATAAGAAAATACAGATAAAGATTATACATAATTTTAATAATAATTAATATCAAAATTAAATAATTTAATTTAATAAGAATTAATTATCAAAGAAAAATTGATTAAAATCTCTAATAATAATGAAAGTGGTACTGAAATTATATTATATTAATAGAATAATTAGATGAATCTGAATTTGAAGATATAAAAGATAATCCAAATATTACCTAATTTCTTTAAAATTGTAGATTGCAATCATAATATTTATAAATTGTTGAAGATTCATTTAATTTTTATAAAAATTTTGAGATCTAAGTAGGTGAATTAGAAAAAAAAGGAGAAATAACAAAATTGGTTGGTGAAGTGTCTTAAACAAAATCTGAATTGTCATACTTCATTCAACTTTATTATTAATAATTTTAATTCTACTCAAATAAAATGAAAACATTAATCAAAGCAGATGATACTGAAAAGTCTTTAACACAATTATAATAAGAAAAATTATTATTATAAAATAAATTACAAGAAGAAACTTAAGCCAAAGAATAAAATTAATAGGAACTGTAAAGTCTATAAAACTAAAATGCTTCTTAATAATAACAATTAACTATTAAAATAGAAGAACTAAATTAAAAAATTGCATAAGCTAAATCATAAGAATAAACTTTATAATAATAATTACAGGAATAAACTAATTAATACAATGAATAAAAAAAGTAAATAGAAAAGTTTGAAAATCAAACTAAATACTAAGAACTTCAAACTTAGATTAATAATTTAAATTAAACAATAAAATCTACACAATTAGAACTCTAATAGAAGACCTAGTAAATAGAATTAAAGGATAAAGAATTCAAGAACTTATAAGAAGCATTTCCACAAATATAATTAAATTTGACTTTAGGAAAAATTACTTTATTAAAGGATGATTATTATTCAAAACTACTTAAAACAATAGAAGATAAAGCTAAAAAGAAAATAAAAAATTAATATTTGATTTATTGCGGTACTAAAGATGGATTAAAAGGGGAATCCTTTTGGAAATCTGTAAATGGAATGTCAAATTTACTTATGGTATTCAAATCAAAAAGTGATCATATTTTTGGAGGATATTCACCTTGTTAATGGTATGTGACTCCCAGTAATTTTTATGTAGCTGATAATACATTGTCATCATTTTTATTTTCATAGACCCATAATAAAATTTATCCTCTATAGTCTGGTAAGATGGCAAATGCTATTTATTGTCATAAGAGTTACGGTCCTACTTTTGGAGGAGGTCATGATTTATAAGTTTCTTCTGATTTTAATGGTGGATATTCTAATCTTGGAAATACATATCAATGGGATGAATATTAAAATGCATAAAGCAATCACTTGTTTGGTTAATCAACACCTTAAATAGTTGAATGTGAAATCATAATGTTAACATTTATGTGAATAATGAAATAGTTATAATCTTCACTATTAACAAATTAATAAATGAAGAACCTTCTTATAAATCTTAATATATTAATTATTTAATAAATCACTATTTCCCTCATTTTTTTAGAGATAAAATTTACTAACCAAGGATTATGTTATCAATTGTTAACCATTTGTAATAACAGTAATAATCAAATAATACAATAATAAAAATTATTTCTTTTCTACAACCTAAGGCTGCTTTTTCCCTTTAGGCAGTTATAAGATTTATTTATAAATATAATTTTAAAGGAAACTTAATGATTATAAATTCTAATTGGGACTCTTTTTATTAAATTATTTAGGTTTAATAAATTAAACACTTGATATGATGATAAATTAATATGAGATGTTTTCAGATTGGATTTTTGAATAATTAAATTCCAAATTATTCTTTTAAACTAATCCTTTTACTACTAAACAAATAGATAAGACTAATATATAATTTGATAGCTAGGACAAAAAGACAGATCAACTTAATTTTTGGAAATTCAGGAAATAATGTAATGATCATTTAAGTAGATCTGATCACGTTTTTAAGTTTTTTAAAGAGGTTTAACTATGTTATATTATAAGATCCTTGATTGAAATAATCCTTCATTTTAATATTCTATAAAAATAAAGAATATCCTAACCATTTTTTTTATCGGACAAGAAATCTAAGTAGATTCTTTAATGAAATTCACCAAAAAAAATATCTGGTCTATATATAAGATGTAAATCTCTACAATCAACTAACAAGTCGAAATCTAACAAGGTAATCAATTTGTATATCCATCTGATATAAATCCCTAGACATGGAACTGTAATATATGTTATCGCTATTAAATTCTTTTTACTTACATTATAATTTCATATTTTACTTTATCTATTTTTTTATTTAATAAAAAGAAGGTTTATAATTTAGTTGACTTTATATTAATAATTAAAATGTTTAATTATCTACTCATATATCTCTAGTTTAATTCAATAACTATACAACTCTTTCACATGACAAAACATAAATCAATTATATTTTCTGGATATGTCCATTCTTATTTAGAATTTTTCATTATAAAATTATATTTTATATTGTTTATCATTTCTATCTAAGTTAAAATAAGTGTAATTTAATAACAATTTTAGATATTTGCTGAAGATTTAATTTCCTGTCTCAGATTATTAGTAGATCTATAATAATTTTTCCAAAATCAGAGAAAGGTATGAGATCAAGTGATTTCAGCTACGAAAAGGTTTTCAAAATTTATTCATCTTAAAAAATTGCATGTGAATTATAAAAATCTATTCATAAATCTCTTATGCTTTAAAATTACATAATTGAAAAAGACTTTAAGTTAAATTGAAAAATAAAATTCTTGGTTTCCTAGAGCATAAACAAGAAAAATATGAAAACTACCATTGCTTTGAATAATCAGAACAAAATAAAGATGCATCACAGTGAATTTTTATATTCCAAATATAAATTATTAAATTTAATTTGTTCTTTAATTAATACTAAAAGAAATTTAAAATGTAAGTTTTCAATATTATGATTGCGTTTCTGATAACATATTTATTATAATGAAGATATTAAAATATTACAATTAAAATCAATAAATTTATATAACAAAACAAAATCTAAAAGTTTTTGTATTTATACTAAGAGTAAAATGTATTTCTCATTATTTTATTATTATTATTGAATTATAATATATGGATTATTTATAATATTCAATTTTATTTTCCTCATATCATATAATTACTATTAAATGAAATTATTTATTAATATTCTTGGAAATTTGAAATTATGAAAGAAAATAAAGAAATTTCAGCTTTTAAAAAAGAAAATTATCATAGTCATACTTTTTAATGTATTTGTTGGTTTTAATCTATTCTACTAGACTAATTTGAGTAAACCAATAAAGACTTTGAATAAATTATCTTAAAAAAATAGAATATTCACTCTGATGAAGATTGTAGATTATATTGTTATTTTTACAGATCAAGCATTAAAAGCATAATGGAAAAAAGAAATAGCTAATAACCACAAAGTTGATCCTATTTTAATTGTTTAAGATAATAGTTAGTCTTTCATTGAGAATTGTAATTTATTAAATATTATAAAGCCTAAACCTTAATTGAATAAGGAAAATGGGATGATGCTATATAATTATGCGATTAGGGAATTAAAAAGTATTAAAATAATATGAACCTATATAAAAATAAAGGTAAATAATTTTATAATTTTAGCAACTGCTTTACGAGAAAAAGGTTTATTAAAACAAGCAATTGATATTTGGGATGAAGGAATATTGAAGAATGATTGGAATATGGAGTTTTACAATGAAAAAGGTAATNTTTTTCATTATAAAATTATATTTTATATTGTTTATCATTTCTATCTAAGTTAAAATAAGTGTAATTTAATAACAATTTTAGATATTTGCTGAAGATTTAATTTCCTGTCTCAGATTATTAGTAGATCTATAATAATTTTTCCAAAATCAGAGAAAGGTATGAGATCAAGTGATTTCAGCTACGAAAAGGTTTTCAAAATTTATTCATCTTAAAAAATTGCATGTGAATTATAAAAATCTATTCATAAATCTCTTATGCTTTAAAATTACATAATTGAAAAAGACTTTAAGTTAAATTGAAAAATAAAATTCTTGGTTTCCTAGAGCATAAACAAGAAAAATATGAAAACTACCATTGCTTTGAATAATCAGAACAAAATAAAGATGCATCACAGTGAATTTTTATATTCCAAATATAAATTATTAAATTTAATTTGTTCTTTAATTAATACTAAAAGAAATTTAAAATGTAAGTTTTCAATATTATGATTGCGTTTCTGATAACATATTTATTATAATGAAGATATTAAAATATTACAATTAAAATCAATAAATTTATATAACAAAACAAAATCTAAAAGTTTTTGTATTTATACTAAGAGTAAAATGTATTTCTCATTATTTTATTATTATTATTGAATTATAATATATGGATTATTTATAATATTCAATTTTATTTTCCTCATATCATATAATTACTATTAAATGAAATTATTTATTAATATTCTTGGAAATTTGAAATTATGAAAGAAAATAAAGAAATTTCAGCTTTTAAAAAAGAAAATTATCATAGTCATACTTTTTAATGTATTTGTTGGTTTTAATCTATTCTACTAGACTAATTTGAGTAAACCAATAAAGACTTTGAATAAATTATCTTAAAAAAATAGAATATTCACTCTGATGAAGATTGTAGATTATATTGTTATTTTTACAGATCAAGCATTAAAAGCATAATGGAAAAAAGAAATAGCTAATAACCACAAAGTTGATCCTATTTTAATTGTTTAAGATAATAGTTAGTCTTTCATTGAGAATTGTAATTTATTAAATATTATAAAGCCTAAACCTTAATTGAATAAGGAAAATGGGATGATGCTATATAATTATGCGATTAGGGAATTAAAAAGTATTAAAATAATATGAACCTATATAAAAATAAAGGTAAATAATTTTATAATTTTAGCAACTGCTTTACGAGAAAAAGGTTTATTAAAACAAGCAATTGATATTTGGGATGAAGGAATATTGAAGAATGATTGGAATATGGAGTTTTACAATGAAAAAGGTAATTGAATTTTTCTATTAATTTTAGCTAAGGAATTAAGAAGACAATCCAATTTAATAGGAGTACTTGAATTTTGGAATTAATAAATTTAAAAAGAACCAAATAATATTTAGTTCTATTAAAAGAAAGGTTTATGAGAAATAATAAAATTAGCTGATTGTTTAAAAGAATAAGAAAGTTTTGAATAGATATTTGAATTATGGGAAGAAGGAATCAAATATAATAACAATAACATTAACTTTTATATTGAAAAAGGTAACATAACAATAGAATATCTTAAGCAAAGGTGTTAGAATAATATAGTAGATTTTCAGAGTGTCTAGATATGTGGGATCAAAGTATTAAGATTAAAATTAATGATATCAACTTCTATTAATAAAAATGTATTTAATATTTTAATTCATGTAGCTAAAACTTTAGTTAGAATTGGTAAACTATAAGAGGCTATAGATTGTTGGGATTAAGGAATAGAATAAAATAAAAACAATCATTTGTTTTATTAAGCAAAGGGTAAATTTTAGTAGATATTAAATTATTTAGAGAGGGAATTAAAACTATAAGGAAAATATGATGAAATAATTTAATTTTGGGATTAAATGATTTTACAGAACCCTTCCGATATATATTATTATGAATAAAAAGGCATATATATATAATTAAATGTATAGCTAAATGTTTAACAGAATAAGAAAAATATGAAGATGTTATTAAATTATGGAACTTAGGAATAACAAATAATAAAAAAAACAAATTTTTTTATCAAGAATTGAGTAAATAATTTATTTTAGTATTCAATTAGGTAAAGTATTAAAACATGAAGGTAAAATAAATGAAGTGTTAGAATGTTGGGAATTGGGAATTTTAAACAATGATCAGAATCTTTATTTTTATTAAGAAAAGGGTAATTAAATATAAGAATTATTTTAAGCAAATGCTCTAAAAGATCTTAATAAATTTTAAGAAATTTTTAATTTTTGGTAAACTTTAATAAAAATTGATCCTTAAAATAGAACTTATTATGAAGAACTTAGTATTTAACTTTTTAATTCCTTTTAGCAAAGATGTTAAATGAATTTGGATAAATGGGATAAATTATAGATGTTTGGAAATAAGGAATTTAGAATAATATAAATGATATTTATTTTTATGAGAAAACAAGTAATAGATAACTATTTAAATATTTAGGTTAAACTTTAATTGAATAAGAGAGATTCAAAGAAGTTATTGAATGTTGGACCATAGGAGTAGAAAATAATAAAAATAATTCCATCTTTTACTAAGAAAAAGGTTTAACTATTTTCAATTATATTTGAAGCCAAAGCTTTATATAATCAAGGATAAATTAATGAAGTAATAGAATGCTGGAATGAAGGAATTTAAAATAATAAACACAATTAATATTATTTAGATCAAAAAAGTAATTTAAATTTACTACATTTTTAGTTGATTTTTTAAAAAATTAGCATAAATTTTAGGAACTAATAATGTTTCTGGATTAATTGATTAATGAAAATAAATATTAAATAAAATGGTATGAAGAGAAATGTATTATATTTTATTAATTAAAGGCGAGGCATTAACTCATCTTCAACAGTTTAATAAAGCTCTACGCTTTTAGAGAATCATAATTCCAAAATTAAAAAATTTTAATTATTATTGTATAAAAAACGATTTATGATTGTATTTTAGATATTTAAATCAATAAAATTTTTGAATAATTGATAGAGCTAATATATTGTATCAATTTATTGTAATTAATTAAAAATAATGTTTTATCAAATTAATTTAGTTTGTTTCAAATTTGGTTCATAATATTTTGTTTTAATTTTTAGAGTAAACTACTTATTGAATTATTTTTCAAATTTCCAATATAGTATCAACCCTATTAGTTATTAAGATTATTTTTTATACTTGAAATTTCAAATAATATTATAAATAAGTTTTATCATAAATCCTATTTTTTAGCTGAGGAAAATTGAATTTAAAATTGCATTTCTCTAACAAAGATTAATAATGATCATTATTATTAAATAGATCCTATTATATTAACGAATTCTAATCCTTCATTTATAATAAATATTTGAAATCTTCTTTTAGTTTGACACTCTATTTTATGAAAACATAAAAAAAATAATGATTTTACCTTCAATTAATTAAGTAATGATAAATCTACGAAACTAAAGATTAATGGTACAATTTTAATTAAATCAAATTAATGATAAAGTTTTTCGAATAAATATTAATCGATTTTTAAGAAAATCAATAATTTATAACATAATCTAAATTAAATCATTAATCATAATTCAATTTTCAATATCTATACTTCTGTTTCAATATCATTCGATATTATTACCTATAGAATTTCTACTTTTGTTTGTGAAATATTAATTATTAATTCTTTTTCAGATTAAATAGTATCTGCAAATATAACACTGAAATTAATAATGTTACTTTCATTAAGACAATAATTTGAAAAAGAAATTTAAGAATTATCACATTAATTGCAATTTCTAAAAAGGCTTTCAATTTTAATTTTTTCTTAACATTTCACTGAAATTAAAAAAGAGCAAAATGTTATACTCTTATCAATAATTAGTTTTTTTTAACCAATTTTAGTAATTGTTTGATCTAATTCCTCAATGTACAATTAAAATGAATTGATAAAATTTGCTTTTAAACCTTAAGATTAATAGATTCTAATATTAGTATATTCTAATGGAGGAGCTTATTGATATATATAAATTTATACCAGTAATACATTTACCATCTAAAAATCCCCATTTTTTTAAACAATTATTGCATTGAGTTTCTAATCCTCCATGACAATCTTCACAACCAATTGAACATTAAACTATGTATAAATCAAATGATTAAACAACCCAAAATGTACTTTGTGGTTAATAATTTTCTGTATACATTTCTAATCTTATTTCAGGGGATAAATGATCTTTATTTATGGCTATATTATTGATATTTACTAATTGAGAATTTACACATCCAATATTTTATTAAGACAGAGCATTTATATTTATAAATTAAACTTACTCATCAATTTTAAAAATAAAATTTAAATTCTATTTAAGTCCCATTACCCAAAGTTTAAGAATTATCTTAATTTTGAAGTGTTTTGGAACATTTTGAATGAATTTTTTCATAATAAGCCCTTAATGCAGAATATTACTTCCACTTGAACTAAATTATTGATTATCATCAATCAGCCATCCCTCTGAGCTAATTGAGTTTAGCCAATATGATTCAATATTATTCAAAATTTTCCAATCAGATATATAATCTTAGCAAAAGAAAAAACCTTCAGGACATTCCAAAATTTCAAATATGAAATTTCGAAATCCATATGATTCCTAGAATTAAAAAATATATACATTAGATGTATCCTCATCTAAATTTGAAGTCATTTAAAAAACAAGAGATTGTGGTTCTGTTGTAACAATTAAAGGAACAGGAAGCTCTTTGTTCTGACTGTCTCCACTACCACAAAAATTGCTTTCTTAACCCTCAAACAATTGACTTGTCTATTCATCATTATCTTCTGTTAAATAGAAAGGATCAACATTCCAATAGTCAATTCTAATTAAAATTTATGTTATACTTCCAAAATTTGAATGAAATTCTTAATGAATAATGTCGTAGAAGTCCAAGATTTTAAGAAGGTAATTTAGTCTCACCAAAAACTCCAAACTCTCCAAATATATCATACTCTTTCCAATTACTTATTGGGCAACCATAAAAATCATTTATAAACCAACCTAATTAGAAAATTTTAATTATACTAGCTGTCTTATCTAAACCTGGTAATAGAGTGTAAATAGTACTCAAAGTAGTTTGAGATATTGCAAAGAACAAATGGAGGAATCCCAGATAGAAATTTAACTTCATAAAAAGGTAATTGATAGTATAATTAATAAATAAAGATTTAGATTGAAGAGAGAAATTTTTTGTCTAATCAATTAATAAAAACTCATTATATTATAATAATTAAGAAAGGTGATGATGTCAAATGTATTTATGTATTTTAAATTTATTATTATAATCTAAATTTTAATTATATACTATTTAAGTATTTCATAGAGCAAAGTCTAGATATTATAATTATTATGTATAATTAATTTTGAAATTCGATATTATATAAAATTTAGATTATTTTTTTTCAAGAAATCATCTCTTTTATTATTTCTTATTAATTTCATCATAAATATAAAGGTTATCCCAGGTTAAAATTGCTATTTTCCCATCATCTACTTTCACATCTAAAACCTCTTCACCTACATCTAGTCTAATTTCGAAAGCTATTTTTCCAGTAGAAATTTCATAAAAAGTTAACTTAGATGATATTATATAGCTTTCATCATGAGATATAAAATAAATATCCTTAATAAAATAATCTTAAGAAGAAATCCTTCTTATTAATTTATTTGAATTTGATATCAAGGTATAATATATATGATTCATTCTTGATGCTCTGATTTATAAAAGCTTAAATTTTTTGGTAATTTAAATATTTTTAGTATTTCTACCTCCAAAAAAATGTTTTGTTAAGTTTTTCCATTTTCTTTCAATTTAATTATAAAACGTGACTACTTTAGTAGAATTATCTAAATATGAAAATTGTTTGAAAATTTTACAATCAAAAAAGCTTTATTGTTCTAAGAGAAGATATTTATTCATTTTGAAATTTTAATCATAAAAAAATAAGTAGTTTTAATTATTGTAATTAATGCATTCAATAAATGATGCTTATGAATTCTACATTTATTATATTTACTTTTCTTTCATATTATAAATTAAATATTATTTAGGCTTATCTTATACAAAAATCAAGTAATTTTGATCTTTAGTAAATTAAAATAATTAAATATTGTTATTTTAATATCCTACATTTATAGTGCAGAATTTAATTCCACTTTTTATATCATAAATTGTAATATTATTGGTCCCTAACATTGCAAGAAACTAAGTAGAAATTGTTTATTAGTATATATAATCAGATTAAGAATGAAATTTTTTTAAATATGTGACTTTAGGCAATAAGTTTATATAGGACCTATATGGTATAATTTGTTGTTATGTATCCTTAATATTTTAAATTATTTAATTAATCTAAATTCTGTTTATTCTTTAATAATGGCTATTTCCTAAATAGTCGATAAAATCTTCAGGATAGAACAAAGCAGATTCTATTTCCATAATAAATTTATTAATTTTCCAAATAATATCTTTGTTTATTGATTTAGTATCAAATGTTTCCTTCATTACATTATAGATTCTAAGTTAATGGTAATTTTTTTCTTCTTAATATTACTAATCATTTGAAAATAAACTAGAAATTTAATCTATAAAATAGAAAACATCTTCTAAGAATTAAATAAGATTCAAGGAATACTGATAATTGAGGTTATTTTTATTCTATAAAAAGCAATATTCACATTAAATTAATCCTATATTGATTTAAAAAGCTCGAACAAAAACTAAATTCTCAATTTTATGATCATTCCTTTTATGATTTAAATTAACTTCTTTTATTAGAAAATTTAAAATTAAGGTTATTCTCTTATCTATATCATCATTTTTACTTTTAAATACATTTTAAATGTTATTTCGAAATTTATTCCAAATTAGAGTGATCTAATCCATTATTTTTATTTTTATTATCATCTAAAATGATGTTCAATTAATCTTAAATCAGAATTAATCATAAATTAAATTTTAAATATTTTCTAAACAAAAATAAATCTAATATATCATTTATCAAATTAGAATGATAAATATAAAATAAAAAGCTCAAGTTTTAGGATAATATTTTTTGAGTTGAATAGCATTTATTTAGAACAGTCATAATAAATAGTTATCTTAAATTAATTATAAATACAAGTAAATTATTTTAAATTAATATCTAAAGCAAAATCATTAAATCTCGTAATATTAATAAAGTTATATTTCTATTTTACTTTAGACTTTTTAGTTAATCAGTAATAGAATTAAATTTATAATTCAGTTGTTTATTTTACTTTAGAAGACTTAGTTAAGAATATTACAATTAAATAAAATGGTCCAAAAATTGGTTCTATTGGGTTCTAAATTATCCAAATTTTAAAATAAAATTACAAATTATCTAATAAATTAAACTCAACTTTCAGAATTTTATGATCGTATTGTAATATTCTCAATATCCAATTCTACATTTTAACAATAATGAATCTATGGATCTAAATTTTAGTATAATATAAATTTATATTATTTAAAATAAATTCAAAATAAACATATGGAATAGTTTAATAAATTTTTTTATCTATTATTTATGGATATACCAACTTAATATTTTCATTATCTAAAAAAATGAACAATAACTATAGCCAGGATAATTATGTATTAAATAAGGATACTTTAAAATAATATGAGACTCCATTACCATTTGAAACATAAGATGAAAAAACTTAGAATATGGATTAATTTTAATGTATCTATCTATGTTTATATTCTTAAGAATACATTGAATTTTAAGAAGTTTTAGTTAGAGTTGATTTTCTCAAGAGAGTGTACCTATTATTGACCTTAGAGTTTTTAATAAATTTTGGAATGATTGCATTAGGACTATATAAAAAATTGTTAAATTTGTTTGTGAATACTAACTTCGACTTTTTGTTACCTTGACCAATCGAGTGCAAGTATGATCTTTATAAATCAATTTATTGTAAGAGTAATGGAGTAGCATATTGTATAATTCATCCTACCCCTACTTGGCTATTCTATATTTCTTAATTATTTCTTTAATGTTATAATTTACATGTTATTTTGGAGGATATACTAAAAGAAAAGTAAGAAATATATAGCTAAGTATAGCCTTCTTATCATTACATAGCTTTAATTCTATATATTATTTTTTTTGGATTTACACTGCATATTTATGGCTCTTATTTTAGGAATCTTCTACAGGTATTCAAAATTTTAAATAATAGATTGTGCAATTATAATTATTAGCACTGCCATGTTAATGGTCATTATAAAATTATTGATTAGATTTTTGTTCGTATTAGAATACTTTTAATATGCATTATTTAGTAATCTATGGATTATATTTAATATTGTAGACAAAAATCATTATGGTTAAAGGAGTAATATATTAATTAATATTTCAAAGAAATATTAGTTGGAAATTTATGATTATTTGGTTGGATCTTTGTTGCTTTATGCTCTTATTATATCATTTTTAGTGAGAATTTATGAATTATTAGAAAAGCTTTTAGAAGAAAAGGAAAAATATTAAAAACAATAAAATCATTAGATATTGTAGATAATTTATGTTCCTATAGTAATTCAAATAAGATAAGATAATAGTTAATAATATTTAATATTTATATTTGTTAAAATCCACTTTAAGTGTTTCAAATTATAAATTAATATCTTCTTTAGAAAAGAAAGAAGATTCCTACTCATATGGGTTAGGATTTAAATAAGGTAATAATGAAATTTGATATCATATGTTTTTAACATCAAAAACTGTTTGAAATATATTTATTATTAATTTAAAACTCCCTTTAATTTAATAATATCTATAATTGTAATAATACAAACAAAATATACGTTTAATTAAATTAATTAATTTTATAATAATTAAAATATAATAATAAATATATCAAATATTTTAACTATTATTCATATTTAAATAAATTATTATTATTCATCAACATCCTTTTGAATACCATTTTAATAAACAACATTATATTATTCATATTTTTAGTTGATTTCAATCCATTCTCCACTTTTCAATCCATTTTATTCATAACTACCACAACTATTCTATAGTAAGATCACATACATTTATTATTTTTATTCCTCTCTAGATTATATTATCATTTGCCATTATCCTTATTTTTTCCCTTACATATAATTACCTACATACAAAATATTGCATGCCTGAAGATTAAAATTTTCATGAACTTCTGTCCATTTTCCTTATTTTTCTCCATCATTATTATAGTTACCTCCACCACTAATATTTCTAATATTAATAATACACATTTTATTATTTTAATACAATATATCCCATTATCCTTATTTTAATCCATTTATATATTTTCCTTTAAATGTTATTTAAGCATATCTTATACAATAATTATTTTACTGATCATAATTTTAAAATATTTCAATCCAATCTTCATTCCTTAATCCTTGTTCATCATATTCACCGCCTCCTCTATGAATTGTATTAAAATTCAATTACATTATTTCAATTTAATTGCTTTGTTTCATTTTATGTTATATGATCCATTTTCCTTTCTTTATTCCATTCTTATACTATCCATTAAAAATAGTGAAATGAGATTAATGAAAACAATTACTTAATTCACTCCAATATCCATTCTGTTAACCTAAATTATTATAAGTGCCTCCTCTATAATATAATAAAATTAATTATTTACATAGTTAATTATTATTCATTATTTTCCTTTATATGAATATTCCATTTACCAATCTTTAATCCATTTTAATAGTAACCAACTAAAATGACTTAAAATTCTCTATTTATTTTATTATTAAACAATAATTACTCTTTAAAACTATAATGAATCTCTTTCCACTTCCCAGTTTTAATTCCAAATTTAAATTCTCCTCCACCACTAAAAATAACTAAATACAAACATTAGTTTATGTTTTATAAAAAAGAATTCTTCATATATATATTTTTTCCAATATCCCATCTTATGTCCATCTTAATATTTGCCAATATCAATTATTAATTGATTTTATTAAGGTAATATTTTATCGTATAATTCTATCCATTAGCCCTCTTTCAAACCATATTCATTATAATTTCCTCCACCACTTTATATAACTTAGAATTTACATTGTAACAAATTTTGTTGAATTTTTCTTCTATAATTTCCACTTTCCTTATTTTTTCCCATTATGATAATTTCCTGCATAAACTACTTGAAGTTGAATACTAGATTAAATTACTTAAATTACCTATAGTTTCTACATGGCTCACTCCAAAAGCCCTACTTCCTTCCTTTTTTATCATATAAACCTTCTAATTCTAGAAATTGTTTTCCCCAATAGGCATTCCATAATGTAATTTTTTATTTAGTTTCAGTTTCTTCTCCTATCCATTTCAAATTACATAATTAATCATAATTTGTAATTATCTCTTTATTAGAATTTTAATCATTATCAATTTCTCTAATTAAATATCAAAGATATACATCCTTAATATCTTTCCATCCTCTATATAGCATAATTTTCCTTGTTAAAACTCAATTTAAAAGGCTTTTAATGCATTTTCATTTTAAGAAAACCCTAAAATGTCTATTAAGCCTTCTCTTTAGTTTAACCTCATATTTCCTTGCTAAAAATATTATCTAATGATTTACCTTTGAGATTATCTCATTATTTATATAAATAAAATCACTATGATTAATTCCTAATAATTTAGAATTTTGAAAGACATTCAATCTTTATAGAGATTAAATATTTACCCTATTTTTTCAGAATTAGTAGTCTTTATTTTTTCTCTCATTTTAATTGCTGCACTTTCACATATCTAAATTAGATTATGCTTGTTTTCATAAAGTTTGGAATAACAATATTGTTTTTGTTATTACCACAAATTGAGATGATTCAATTATAGAATTTCAGATATTTTATAAAGCTTAGAATTACTAGATTCTTCAATGTTTGAATTTAACAAATCTAGATAATATTTATCTATTTTTTCAATCTCTTGAAATATTTGGTTAGAAGATTCAATCATCTCCTTGATCAAAGAGAAGAATGTTTATTCGATTTAAACAATTGCTTTTTTGAATTCTTGTTTAGCTCTATCAAGTCGAATTGAATCATTTAATTAGAATTACTCTATATTATTTTGAAGATTATTTTTAAAAGTCTCCAAAGGAAGTATTTAAGTTCCTGTTATAATAATTTAGTGGTCATATTA